TAACTCTGGAATCAAGACAATCAGTTGAGAGTTTAATAATGACATTTAGAGAACAGACATCCAAGATAAAGAGGGTAGAATAAGATTAAACTCACTGTAAAAGTTCATTGGCCTTCAGGGTAAAAGAGCCCACTGCTACGATGGCATCTAAACCATGAACAAAAGAGAACGCATAAACATTTAATTCTACTTGCTAAAACAACTGTTTTTAGTTACAGAAGAGTAACTAAAGTTCTGCAATGCAGAACTAAATGCCTCAGATGAATCTGAGCTCAGCTCAACTAAAACTAATATTTACTAAAAAAAACATTTTACAAACATTAGATAAAAATTTTTATGAAAATTAGAAATGTTGGCAACTAATTTAATTCCATTTAATTTAAGTTTAAATTAAAACTAATATAAATAAAACAAAAACTGAAAAATAAATTAAAGCTATATAGAAAAAACTACTAAAAATGACAAAAGCATATAACAAAACTACTAAAACTTAAACTAAACTTAAAATAAAGACTGAAAAAAAAAGCTGATTCAAAAGATTAATAAATCCTATAACAGTATATAAATAATACTAAAATATAACACTGGACTATAAAATACCCTCGATGGCTGCAGGATCCAGGCCGAGAGGTTGAAACTTCTGCTTCCAGAGCGCCATTCCTTTGACCTCGCTCAGATGATACAGCAGTGCCTCAGAGCCACTGTGTGCACAGCAAACACTCTCAGTGCACATGCCGAACTGCAACAATCTGGTGCTTGTTAAGGCTAGTGAATGATACGCACCTCTGCAAGTGACTGATAACAAGTTTCTGGATGCTGGAATAGGAAGAATCAATGGACTGACCCAACATCTTCAAGCCCTGAGCGGATAAACAACAAAATGATGAACGCAGTTGGTAATAGTTGCATGATTACTGACAGTGGGCTAACTAATGTAGTCAACCTAATTCCAGGTAGATTTACCTTGACTGTGAGTTGATTCATAAGAAGAGCCTGAAGT